ATAAATTGGTGAAGACTGGTTTGTATCTTCTCTTCGCAAACATGTCTGACTTCCCGACACATAATGTTAATAATTAACTCTAAAAGAACAAGGCTACCACTTGCTACCAAGGAATTACACAACTACAAAATATAATTTTAAAATAATAAAATAATAATAATAGTTATAAATACACGGCAGCTGCAATGCTTCACCTTTTCAATAATGTTAGTATACTCATTAAGCATTGGGCCTCCAGCTGGTAGTTCTGATGAAGTTAGAGGAAACTGGAGGGACACAAGACGATTGAGACTGCCCCTGTAATCAGTATTCATAATTAATAGCAGAGTGGTATATATCTCACTTGAGCTGGGACTGATATTCAGGAGATGATAGTAATAAAAATGAAGGAAGAAGGTCGATCATGACAGCCTAAGAGAGTAGGGAGCAGGTGTAAGAGAAGATTATAAAAATAAAAGAAATAATAAAAAAGGTGTAGAAGCACCTTAAAACTCAATTCCAGCTTCTCGTCCCCAATCATGGCAGTGTACATGGCAACTAATGGTTTGCTAGTATCAGCACTCTTTAACAGCAGCTAAAATACGAATTCAATTATCATTTTAGCACATACAATGTACTTTTGGCTGTAATGCAATCATCTTTTGTAACAAGGTTACAGCTGCTGATTTCAAATCTTTGGAGCCATTTTCCCACCAAAGGCTCAAGTCCTGCCAGTGAGAGATTAACTCAGTACACAATGTCTCTACAGTCTCTTTGTTATTATTATTATTAATCTTAAAGTCTTTCTGAACATACTCCAACAGCAAATTAAGAATCACAGACACCTGTATGAAATATTTAAAAGATTACTACTAATAATATAGATTGGTTACTTGTTGTGGGTGTGTCTTAGCATTTTTCAATAAGATGTCAATTGCCGTTTTTATGTGCAATAATAATTTATTATTAATTAATCCTGAATATGTAATGTATAAGAGCAGGCCATCATGAGCAGCAAAACTAGCACCTAACAATAAACAAACAAAAATAAACAAAAATAAACAATTTAAACAGACCGGCACCACTTTGAGCAGGAGAAAGAACCAGAAGGAGAAATGGCTCAACCTACATGTACACATGAAGATAAAAACTGACAAACCTTTTATACTATTTGTCACTAACACTATCACTAAGCTCCAATCCTAACTTCAAAAGCAACTCTCCAGTTAGCTTGTGTAATGGAGGAACATAATAGCCAGGAGTACCATCACCAGAAGAAGAGGAGATTCCTCTAATGATAGTCAAAGCATTTGTATATAATCTCATTGCTAAGGACTCTTCTTCACTGATGCCCATTGACTTTAGTACATCACTTAAGCACTTATTGGACTCTGCTAAGTAAATGTGTCCCTGCACTAGTCTGTTAAACAGTAATATGTCACTTGATGTTGTACTCTCATTGTATGATACAG